TATATGTACATTTGAAGTCAAACTAAAAGCTCACCGCAATTGAAAGGGTTTGTCACTTGGGACATTTCTGGTAATGACTCTTTCAGTTTCACACCAGTCTTGTGCTGATGCATAGTTTCTCCTGTCAATTACACCTTGTTGATTTATGGTTCTAGAGCCACAGTTGCCAGCGTAACAGTTCCAGGTGGTGTAACTACAGTGATCATAGGTTTCCCTGCTACGAAATTTCACCTGTGGAAAAAGATCATACAGTTAGATATGGTTCTTCTACCACAGCTGAGGACATTTTTGTAAATTACATATCTGTATATTTTAACACACCTGTGATATCACTCCTATCCATTTTGAGGAGGTGTTAACAACAGCAAATGTAGCTGAAGTCCATATATTAGTTACAAAATACAGTTATATTTAAAACCATTAACAACTATATATAATTTTGCATGCATATATCAATCAAAGAAGGTTACAAGGTATTACAACATAAAAAAATTCATGGTGTACTCAAGTTAACCTGATATAAGTGAGAATGTAGAATACAACTAAGACAAACAACAAGACTAAGATAATAAATTAAACAAATTTGTTTTACATTCATCCCGTGTGCAATTGTTACTCCCAGACATAAAGAAATGTGGGTATACAGTTGGTACATGTCGCACCAAAAACCCTTATTGAGGTGTGATAGGCATCTGCTGTGGTGTGGTACACGTGTTTGTAAAATAAACTTAAGGCACTAATTAAAAAATATGTTTTTATATGTTGCTCTCTACCCCGTAAGGAGTAAAAAATTCAAATTCAAAAGTTACAAAGGTTGCCCCCTTTTAACAAGATCTTAAGGCATGCAGCATGTAAGCAGCATCAGTATCAGATATAGTTTGACCCTTTCAGAAAGGAAGATAATCATAATAAATAACACTGCATTTTATCTAGCTCTGTTTATGCATTCAAAGATGCTTTACAACATGAAAAGATTTTAAAAAATCAAGGTACATTAGATTTTTTTTTTTAAAAAGAATCAAGGTAAAAGACATTTAATAAATTGCATTACTGCAACTGAAATTAATGTAAAATGTTCTATATTCTACCAGAATAATCACAGAAATGAGCTCTCACCCTAAAGGTTCCATCAGGATTTCTTCCTTTGAAGCTGAAGCCTTTGTGCCCCCCTTGCTGATGTGATGCAGATGCCAGTGAGACCAGGAGCAGCTGAAGCAGAAGCACCAGCGTGAAGGCCATGCTGCCTCAAACTCACCTCTGTCTCAAGGTTCTCTGCAGCTCACATCCACCTGCAGCATCTTTATATACGCTCGCCAGAGAGGCTGGTGGCAGTCCTGCCAAGTTTAATGGAATGTGCACTGTGTTTCACAACAACAGGTCAGCTGAAAAACTGGTTTCAGAAAGCATACAAGATCAAAAACATTTTACTCTGTAAACACGTACAACAATACCATGTTAAAATACCATGCTATTGAAACACAACTAATGTAGGACAAGGAGTGTTTCCTGGCAGCATGCAGACATGTTGTTCTCGTTGCACATGTTACGGAACCGAAACCTAAGCACAATCATTTACTTTACAGCTGACAGAACTTAATTTGGTATATTGTCATAAAAATGTTGAAAAACATGTTTGGAAGAGTTTTTTCCATCAAATTAAAAATTTAAGTGAATAAAACCTTTCTGATGCCTTATTTTCCAAGGTAGGTAGGTACTTTATTAATCCCCTTGAGGAGAAATTTCAGTGCCACAGCAGCCAGTAGGAACAATACAAAACAATAGACAATAAAAACACAAGTCATATTATAAAAATACTAATAAAAACACAGTGACACAAGGTGCGAGGAGTAAAAACCAAAGTGCAGAATGTCCATAGGAAATAGAAAAGGGAGGGGGGGAGGTCAGCACATGGATGAGTTGTACAGTCTTAAAGGAGCTATATGTAAGAAATCTAAAGCAAATAGTCGTAAAATCCTCCTAATATGTCACAGAGACTAAGGAATAATCTTCATATAACATACTGATCTCACCAACAACAATAGTACAGCCAGAATATTTGCATCTAAAAAAATTTTTTTACAGTCTGCAAATTCAATTCAATTTTATTTATAAAGCCCAATATCACAAATCACAATTTGCCTCACAGGCCTTTACAGCATACGACATCCCTCTGTCCTTAGGACCCTCACAGTGGATAAGGAAAAACTCCCCAAAAAAAACCCTTTAACGGGGAAAAAACGGTAGAAACCTCAGGAAGAGCAACTGAGGAGGGATCCCTCTTCCAGGACGGACAGACGTGCAATAGATGTCGTACAGAGCAGATCAGCATAATAAATTAACAGTAA